TGCGACTCCAGAAATCTATCAAGGAATCCTGGCGCGTACACACGGAAACTGACGTTTGGTACTAACAAAAACAGTACAGTGTTATATATCGCTTTAACTATTAATGATAAATTCAATGGCTTGTGTCACTCGCTTACATTTGGCGTATTGATTGTCCTCGATGTTCCATAATCCATTTTTATCTCTCATGTTAGGATTACAAGAAACCTCTTGCTGGCTATACCCCCTAGATAAATTAAAAATTGATCATACAATAGAAAATTTTGTTTTACGCGAAAGATTTAAATTTAATGTAATTTTTATCGCTACTAACCATTTCGGTAACGTTTTGCCGCTACATGTTAACACGCAATGATGAAGATAATGTACGAACTTCAATTTACTTGTCACTGTCTCAACCACGTCGCCGTCCCTTCCGTTCGTTATCAATACTTTCCAAACGTCGTTAGCATCGCCCGTACCATTCTGTGAGGCAAACAGGAAATACGCTCAATAATAAAATCGAAAGCAACGCCACAATCACATTGGTTGAAATCACCTTACTTCTCCGTATCCGGTAACTTGATAATGCTTTTTTGATATTGGCGCGATTTCCTTGTGCGAATGTAAATTTCGTCTCGTCGTAATGTGCTCCAGACGCACGAGGTCGCCGTGTTTAACTAATTCTGATTCTGGCGGTATCACGTCCGTGTCGAATTTCTTCACCAGCCATAGATTGTTATCGTCTTTGTGAGAATAAGTCGTGATCTGTAATCAGATACGTACATCAGATACCAGGAATTTAGTTTCACTTAATGTCGCCCACTCAAATCATTATTCTATTATCATATGCGTTTTCCAGTCTCTATTCTGGTTGAAGTAAGATATACATCATTTATTTCAATACCTGACAAATTTATAAATCTATATATTTTATATGAATTCATTTTATGTTTATATTTTACTCTTTCTTTTATGCTACTTTGTACTAAATGTAAGTACTCATATGTATAACAACCTGTTGCTGTCTGGCGCCAACTCCTTCGGGATATAAATGCCAATGAGAGTGCAAGTAACCGCCGCCTGTACGATGATTTTTTAACGTAATAGTAGCACCATACGCCAATTGTCGTGGCATTGTCGCATTATACAGCGAATTTCCACGTAATAGCGACTGAAATTCGGAACTGTAGAAGCCATCGCCACTTCCACTAAGCAAAACAATGTTTATTTGTAAATTAAACATTAGTTTGGACACATAATTGAATAACTTAGATATATTATACAGGGAATTCTGAGAAATAAGGAAAAATTAACACCAAGTTTATGAAAATATTTGACATTAGTAGTAACAGACTACACTTTGTAAGTTGATGCAATAATTCTTACCTTTTATTTAAAACGGAAAGATGAATATAAAAAAATAGCATGTAAAGTAAAACTGGTAATAGGATGAGGCAAAAGCACCTTGCTAACAAATGTTTCCCCACATAAGACTGCAAAAAGCAAAATCAAAATTGTTCTTTGGAAACTTAATCGTCCATTTTCTCGATCTCTTAATTACTAATTATTAAATTAAAAGTATTACAAACTTATTAACTAGCTCGTTAATCATTAACATGTCAATTAAAATGCAAAGCTCGCACTATTTATGACATTACTCTTATACAAATTTAATACTAGAAGGTATAATGATCAATTATTTATTTTGAGTATTAGAAGCACTGAGCAATAGTGCTTTTAATGTACAAAATAAATAATTCAGCACTATTTGTCAATATTAAATTGGCTAGTGTTAAGCTGGATTTCTATAAAAGTAAAAACCTTGATATTGAATTTTCGTGAAATGACTTACAATAGGTTTAGACAGATCACCCAATTCTCGCCAGAGCTCGTACACGGTGTAAAGACCCACAAGCAGAACAACAAAGAGGCCGACAAATTTTACGCTGATTGTGCACGCGAGTGAAGCTCCAGTGAATGATAACCACAACCACCAGGATCTTGTGAACGGTCGATCTCGGAATGATGCTACACGCGCCATGCCCCATGTCGCACACATCATAAAACATAACAATATGGGATCGAGCAGAATATACTGATTCAACGTCAACAATCCTACGTCTGCAAAAAAAATGAATCATTTTGTTAATTTGACAAAATTCAAGATTATCTATATCGTAGAACGTTATAATTTACCACATAGGATGAAAAGGGCAGCAAGTGCAGATGCACGAATTGACTTGGTAAGATCCCATACAATGAGATATGAGAGAGGGACAGTGGATGCGCCCAGAATTGTACAGAACTAAGAAACGTTTCTGATTAAATCTTTGCAGCTCTAATGCCTTCGATAATTTTTCTAAATCCTTTGATATAGATCTTGTTTTATTTTAATTGAAAAAAAGTTTGCTCAACTTACAATTCTCATGCCAATGTAATTTATATTTTCGAATTTATCTCCTGGTTTTTCGAAAGCAAATGTCCCATCATAGCCCGTCATGTATCCCGACAAAGCAATGAGCATCTTGAAATAGAATATAAAATATTTTTAGTTTCATGATAGTTGAATTTTTTGCCTAGAAAAATGTACACAGATAGAATTTTCTTTGGAAAACGTACCTTTCCTAAAGGTGGATGCACGTCAAAGAAAAACGTCCTATTTATGTACCAACTGCCCATTTTGCCAAAATGAGTTTCGTCCCAACTGAAAGATAGAAGTTTCTAAGAACTTTCTCTTAAAAAAAAGAACCTAAATAAGAAATACTTTTTAATAAAAATCCTTGATTTCTCTTACCATACATGCTGAGGTTCTGTGACCTTATAAAATCTAGTGATTAAGGTAAGCACAGTTATACCTCCAAACAGGAGCCACCAATCCCTGTAAACATTAAAACAACTTGCAATTGTATTATAACTTACCTATTTCATGCTAATTTATCACATTAAAGAATATTTTCATATTTTTTGCAAAAATTATTACATTCTGTAATTATTACTAGTAAAGAATACTTTATAGAAAAAAGAACAGAAATATAAAACAATTTTTAGGAATATTTTATCGAGGATAAGCTATAGAAATAAGAAAAAAGATACCCCTGGTATCTAACATTTTAATAATTTTTATACACTAATAAGAAAAAAATAATTCGTTGAAAAGCAACAGAATTGTGACTATGAATGCATTAAAAAATATATACAATCGACATAATTTTGATAAAATTATAATTATACATACGTCGCACTTTCTTCCTTTTCGTTCGTTTTCGAGATCGTCGCATTTTTTAATTTACAAACGGTGTTTTGGGTACCGCTTCTCATATTTTACTTCGTTATTATTTACTTGACAAGTTGTGGAATACGTCACTACATTTGAAGTGAAATAGTTACGAATAAACAATAGTGGACAGCCAGATATACAACCTACTGAATTATGTTATAGCAATTATTAATTTGAGCGTTTTGAGACAAATACATATTCAATATTCGATTCCGTTATGCGACACGTCAAATAGTCAAATAGCTGTTGTCAGAGCCATCAGAGTAGTGTTGTTAGGTATGCCGTCTTTTTAGAGCATGCGCACTACAGTACTAGTGAGTTCTAGAGAAATTCAGTAATGTAAAGGATGAAAAGCGCGGGCCCAAATAAAATGTTTTTTATCGTAATGCATTTTTTTGTATAATTATTCCGAAATCCTATTATTTTTTAATATATTCTTTATTTCAGTAATGTATATAAATTATTTCATATGTAATAGTAAATGTAT